CAGGAATGCTCCTTAGAAGTGAGAATGGCCAGACTTCATCTCACCTACTTTGGTCATGTTGTCAGAAGGGACCATTCCCTGGAGAAAGATATCATGCTTGGTAAAGTGGAGGGGTCAGCACAAAAGGGGAAGACCCTCAACAGGATGGATTGACACAGTGGCTGCAATGATGGGCTCAGGTATAGCAAGGATGGTGAGGCTGGCACGGGACCAGGAAGTGTTTCATTCTGTTGTACACAGGGTTGCTATGAGTCAGAGACAACTCGATGGCACCTAACAACAACAAGTTTGCCCCTATTTTTTCTTTGACACACTTTATAGTTTTAGGCTTTATGTTTAAGTCTTTGATCCATCTGGAGTTAGGTTTTATGTATGGTGTGAGGTACGGATCTTGTTTCATTTTTCTGCAACTGGATAACCAGTTTTGCCAGTACCATTTGTTAGAGACTGTCTCTTTCCCCACTGAATGTATTTAGGCCCTTTGTCAAAGACCAGCTGACCATAGGTGGGTAGATCTATTTCTGCATTCTCAATTCTGTTCCACTGGACGGTGTGTCTGTCACTGTAGGTCCCAATTATCTAGTTTATCTTCTGCTATTTGTGCACTTTGGGTTATGCTTGATAGTCTATTCATGCCATAAATTAGGGCCCCTAAGTTTGCCCCTGGTTTTTCTTTGATGGACTTTATAATTGGAGGGTTCACAGTGCACTCTTGAAGGATGGTGTGTCACCCATCCCAGTGCCTCCACTCCACCCCAGGCCCAACACAGAGTCGATCCTTCATCCACACCCTTGTTTGTTGTGTGTCAAATGGGTTCAGGTGAGAGATTGGAGAAACTCAAGCTGTGGAAAAAGCAAGAACTCAGTGACCAGGCGCCGGAGGCCAAGACAGCTGATGGAGCCCATGATGCCCCCCAAGCCATCCACCAGAGGTGAGCTCCCGACCTCTGTCTCTGTGGTTCCCTCACCTGGGGGTGCTCTCCACACCCCCACGTCTGCATGGATCTGCGTCCACCATTGGTCCCTGTGCTTGCTACTGGTAGTGCCCGTCTCCCTGGCCAGCATGGACACCCTTAGGCACATCCCCTCCCTGCTGCTCTTCCAGGTGTGGGGTGGTGCTCACAGCCCTGGGCATGACATCTCCCCCTTCTCCTGACTTTGGGGTCCCCAGAAGCAGACCTGGGTGAGGAGTGAGTGCAGGTTTTTTACTGGGAGGCGGCTCAGGAAGCACAGTGAGGGACAGGAAGTGACACAGTGACAGCATGTCGGTTGTTGACAGCTGCCATAGCAGTTACCAAAGACTTAGAGGCCAAACAGCACCAACATATCACCCCACAGTCTGGAGGTCAGAGGTCAGGATGGACTTGCCTGGCTGCTGTGTCTCAGAGGCTGAAACCAAGATGTCTGCCAGCTGGGCTCTTACCTGGGAGAATCTGCTGCCCAGCTCACTGGCAGAATCCAGTGTCTCAAGGTCACAGGACAGAGGTCCTGTTTCCTGGCTGGCTTCAGCTGGGGTAACCTTTAGCTCCTAGAGGCCTCCATCCAGTTCTTACACATGGCCCCTACATTAGAGCTAGCAATGGCATCAAATCCAAACTTGTGCTTGGAATCTCTCACACTTCTTCTGAGTCTCTCTGACCCCTGCCAGAGAAAGTTCTCTGCTCTTACAAGCCCTGGTGGCAAAATGGTTAAGCACTTGGCTGCAAACTGCAAGATGAGAGGTTCAAACCCACCAGCTGCTCTGCAGGAGAAAGATGTGACAATCAGCTGTAAAGATTACAGCTGAGGAAACCCTGTGGGGCTATTCTGCTCTGTCCCATGGGGTCAATATGAGTCAAAATGGGCAGCACCCAACAACAACAGGGGCTCATGAGACTAGATTAGACCCACTCAGTTAATCTCCAGACCCTAGGTCTGTAACCCTGACCATATTTGCAAAGTCCTGTTTGCTATACTTTGCAATGGCTCACAGGGGCGCGATGGTGGGTACAAGCGTGGTGTTGGGGAGACTGTGGAATGCCGGGGATGTCCCTAAGCTAGCAGAGGCTCCAGCAGCTAGAAACAGTAGGACAGACACAGGCACACAGGATGCAGGACAGCAGTCCTGGCGCCATCACACACAGCCAAGTTCATTCCCGCCTCTCAGCTGACCACTCCTTCAGGAAGCAAGACCTGCTGGGTCACACCTCCTTCTTCCAAAAAAATCACCCATCTGGGCAGGCATTTACAGAAATCACCAAATGCCTTCTGCTTGATTACGAGGCCTTGCCCTGACATTCCTATACCCATCAACTATGGACCAGCGGGTCCCAAATTGGGGAGCGGAAGTATCACCTGGCTTCCCCATTAAATATGCAGATTAAAAAGGAAAAAAAAAGAAAAAACACTGCCACTGAGTCAGTTCTGACCCATAGTGAACCCCACTGGGTTTCCAAGGCAGTAAATCTTTAAAAAAGTAGATTGCCCCATCTTCCTTCCACATAGCAGCTGGTGGGTTTGAACCACCAACCTTCTGGTTAGCAGTCAGATGCCTTAGGCACCGCAGCTTCAGGATGCCTGAGGGGGAGCCCAGCAGTCTGAATTCTTCACCCACCATGCGGTGATTCTGATAGGTGTGCCCAGATGAGGCAGGTGGAGTCTCTCACTTCCAGGCAGTCTCGGAGCTGAGTTCATTCCCAGGAGGAGCCAGACAAGCAGACAGGTGACAATAACAGAGAGGAAAGGGCTATTGGCAGAAGAGTGTGTGGGAAGAGCATGAAGCAGGAGCTAGGTAACCTTTTGGGGCCCTTAGACACACAACATGGACCAAGTAAAACAGCTCCCTTCTAGTCATTTCTGACTCCTGGCGACCGACATGTGTCAGAGAAGAACAGTGCTCCGTGGGGTTTCCAGTGGCTCTGTTTTTGGAAGTAGATCATCAGGCCTTTCTTGCAAGGTGCCTCTGGCTGGATTTGAACCACCCACCTTTTCATTAGCAGCCAAGTGCGTGAACCCTTTGCACCACCAGGGACAGGTGTGTGTTGATGCTGAAGGTAGCTTCTGCCTTCAGGCATAGAACTTAGGCCCCTTTCAGAAACCCAGGCCCTGGAAGGAACAAAGAGACATAGAGCGCTTAGGGAAGAGGGTGGGCGGGTTTGAACGATCCCATTTGCTGAGGGCCAGATGAAGGTCAGCCGAGGAGGTGAGGGTCTTCAAGGGCGGGGCACTCTTGGGATCCAGAACCCTGGCCCGGCTCCGTCCTCCACCTCTCAGAGTAACAGGGCAGCTGTGCTCAGGATTTCTGAAAGGAGTTTCCCACATCACGGGAGGTCAAGGCAGGTCTGAAGTTCAAAATAAGGGTAGGTAGCCGGGAAGTCCCCAGGTGGCACAGTGTGCACTTGGTTACTAACTGAAAGGCTGGCGGTTCAAAACGGCCTGGCAATGTGCTTTTGTAAAGATTACAGCCAAGGAAACCCCATGAGGCAGTTCTACTCTGTCCCACGTGGGTCGCCGAGTCGGAATCGACGGGACAGCAGTGGGTTCTATTTTGTTTCTTAAGCTGGGGGCTCTGGTCTTTCTAGGAGAATATTCTGTTCCCAAGACTAGGTTGTGTTCTCACAAGAAGCGGGGCTGGGACCCTGGAGGTCAAGGTGTGCCCGCTGCTCACTCTGCAGCAGGGTGACCTTAGGGATGCCCTCCCTGACTTTTCTGCTCCCTGTCCCATTGACATCCCAAAGCTACTCAGGATCCGGTGTTCTGGTTCCCTAGTGCCGCTCTGACAAGACTATACCACAAATGGGATGGCCTTAACAAACAGGGTTTACTTTCTTACAGTTTGGAGGCTTTTAGTCTGAGTTCAAAATGCCAGGCTCTAGGGGCTGTGTGAAAGCCCCTTGACCTTGGGCTTCAGCTCTGCCTCTTGCTCCCGGCCCACTGAAGCTAGAGGCATCTCTTCACTCAGGCAGCTACTGGCTGATGAGGCTAACGAGCCCAAGGTCAACAAAAAAAATGGCACAGTCCCGGTATTACCAAACCGCACGGCAGGCCATTAATTCACATCCATTGTAAGACCCAAGGTCGGCAGAGCATGGCAGGCTGCTGATCAATGACCTGGCTACGTGCAGGGTCCAAGCATGCCATATTCTAGAGACCATTCCCAAGGCTTCTCCTTATATACAGGAAGCAGACCACATCCCAAGGCAGCTACTCAGCTGCTTGTGGTAGATCCCACCATGGAGTCGATTGCCAGTCTCATCATGGGGAATAACTACCACCAGCTGTCCAGCCACTCAACCAGGCCCAGCCAAGTTGACACACAAATTTAACTACCACATCTGGTGAAAAACCCACGCACACAGATGCTCTTCCAACTCCCAGGCGTCATCACTCGTGTCCGCTGCTAGGCTGGGTCAGCGTGCTGGTGGGGGGACAGCGTGAGGCTGTAATACATCGTGTCCACGACAGTTGTCCTCCTTACTGGCTCCAAGGACAAATGCATCCAGCGGTCACTGATTCTCACGACTCAGCAAACCCTGACCAAAGGTTGGTGTCAGGACTCCGATTAACCTCCCGGCACAGGCCTGACCTCCTCTGTTCTTCCTCCAGGATGTTGTCACAGCAGAAAAGGTTCCTGGCCCAGTTTGCCATGCATCAGCGGCTGCGCCTGGACGCAGGGAAGCAGCGGGCCAGAGTCATGGACCTTCTGGAAGGCCAGCTATTGACCCAGCTCCAGGTACGAGGCACGGGAAAAGGGGGGGGGGGGAAAGCCTGACCTCACGGCTCCCATCAGCGTCCTGTCTCAGGAGGGGACCACCAGCCCGTCCCCGAGACGCCTCACTGCCTGCTGAGTCTCACTGGCTCTTGACTGTCTGCCTGGGCCGTTGGAGGGCAGCAGGGCCCGTGTCTGCTGCACCAGCTCAGGCCAGGCCTGCAGCCGCAGACGAGTTGATTCAACAGGAGAGGAAACGAGTGTTTCCCTTTGTGCCGATCTTGCCGCTAGGTTTTGGCTCAGGCCAAGGTTAGTGTCATTCAGGCAGTGTTGGTGGTAACTGAAGGGGTCCCTGGACAGCACCAACGGTTAAGCACTGGACTACTAACGGAAAGGTGGGTGGTTCAAACCCACCCAGAACTGCATCTGAAAAAGGCTGGCCACCTCCTTCCGAAAGCTCAGCCCCGGAAAACCCCGTGGGGGACAGTTCCGCGCTGACACACATGGTTCACCTGGAGTTGGGTTGATGACAGTGGGGTTTTGGGGCGGGAGCCACGTTAGCACTTTTCTAGAACATGCTGGGATCTCATTATATACAGGGGACAGACACCTGGAGACTGAGGTGGCAAGATGAGGCCATCAGGCCAAGTGGCCACCTTCAAAACAGCTATTCCAGAATGTGAGCGTTTCACACGTGTTGGGGCCCGTACAGCCCCGCCTGTGGTGGTCACAGTAGAAGAACCGTAAGGAGAACGAAAGGCACTAAAATCCGGGGCTGTCCAGTCGACTCTGAGTCAGAGCAGGACCGTGCCCCACGGGGTCTCCAAGGCCGTGAGCTTGGAGAAGTGGGTGTCCAGGCCCTTCTTCCAAGACACCTGTGGGTGGAAAATCTCTATTCTTTCGGTTAGCGGCCAAGCACCCCCAGGGACTCCACAGCACTCATAAACCAAACCAAACCAAACTTGCTGCTGTGGAGTCCGTTCAACTCATAGCGACCCTCCTTGGGTTTCCGAGGCAGGATCACTATGGAAGTAGATTGCCCCATCTTCCTTCCGTGGAGTGGCTGGTGGGTTTGAACCACTAGCCTTCCGGTTAGCAGTCAGATGCCTTAGGCACTACGCCATAGTTAATGCTTATTGAGGGGCTGCTGTGAATAGTCTCTGGGCAGAGAGAGAGTTACCGTCCCAGTGATGGTGGGGAAACCAAGGCTCCGATTAGTGTCACACAGCGACGAAGGCTCCAAGTCAAGGACCTGGCACCCAGGTCTGCCCATGGGTGCGCCCAGGGCGTGGCGGCAGGAACTCGGGCCTGGCCCGCTGCTTCCGCCTCTGCTCCGGCAGCTCGCTGAGCGCCCCAACCTCCGTGTTGTCATCTTTGAAGGGGCCTCGGGGCCGGTGTGAGTGAGCAGCTGGCCTGGCCCGAGCGAGCCCTCCCGCCCGCCGCGGCCCTTCCGGGTGCTCCCTGCAGGTGGGGCCTCGGCGCCTGCACGTGGTCCCCGCGCCATCGCCGAGGCGTCGGGCCGCCTGCTGGGGGGGCTGCGGGGGGCGGAGGAGGGCGGCGGGGCCACCTCACTGTGCCCTTCTCGCGCAGGAGGCCGAGCAGAGCTTCGTGGCGGAGCTGGCGGCGCTGGCCCGCGTGCCCCTGGCCGAGAGCAAGGCCACCACCAGTAAGCGAGGGCTGCCGGGTGAGTCCTGGTCACGTGGTCTGCGGGGCGGGGCTCCGGCGGGGAGCGCGGCCTCCGGGCCACCACCGCAACCAGCTTGTGGCCTCGGGCGTGCCCAGTCTCCAGGGCTCCGTGTCCCATCTGTCTCGAGCAGGCTCAGGGAGGACACCCCGGGCCCTCTCTCTAGCTCTCGGTACTGCAAGTCCAGGCTTGGCCCTCCCAGCTGTGTCTCGTCTCTGCCTTATTGGCTGCAAAATAAACAATAAGTCCTCCCCCCAACACAGTGACAACTCCAGTGGTCCCCACCCCTGACAGTGACAACTCCAGTGACATCATAGTGTCCTTGTTCCTGGCCCCTCCCCCAAGAGTTACAACTCCAGTGACGACACAATGTCCTTGTTCTGGCCCCTCCCCCAACAGTGACAACTCCAGTGACATCACAATGTCCTTGTTCTGGCCCCTCCCCCAAGAGTTACAACTCCAGTGACATCACAGTGTCCTTGTTCTGGCCCCTCCC